CCATAGTATGGGGAAAAAAAATACTACTTTTGTGTTTCTAATATGAACAATGTGTGTTTGTGTTTTGGAACAACATGAGGGTGCGTCAATTATGACATTTCTCATTTTTTCATTTTTGGGTGAACTATCCTTTAAGACAGAACAACACTGGACTGGATATCTAGACCAGAGCAGTTCACAGCAGGTTTATTTGCATCGCTTTAATTCTGCCATCTTTCCTGACACAGCTATAATGAGATTTTACGTGAATTGTTAAGACAAGTATTTCAACAAGTGCACGAAGGACGCATGTGCAGTGAGGTCACTGTATGCAGTTAACAGTGTCTGAAAATGAATACAAGAGAACAGATGAGCTGACAGGAACATCACAGCCAGTTAAAGGAGCTTCATTTGGTGTCTCCAGCGGTTTGGTCCAGAGGCCTTCAAATGCTCTCGTCATCACTCATGTCCCAGATCTGCAGGACAGAAGAACTGGAGATTACAAAGCTGTTCAAATAAAATGACCAAAACCTCATAAAAACACAAGTGAATGAAACTGAGTGTGTAGCAGCTTTTAGGCTGCAGAGATCTGCTCTCGTGATGTTTAAAGTGGAACAGCAGGTGTGCATCATCATCATCTCATGATGGGTTTGGTACATGAACATCTGAACATGCAAAAGCCCCTTTCAAGCACTGATCCTCCACACAACACGCATGTTTGAAGACCAAACTAAACTCGCGCTGAGACTGAAGATAAACGTCCTTTTGAAGACAAAGAGACCAGACATGAGTGTGTGAGTTTGGATTACGGAGGCGACTGGTTGGTGTGTGTGTGTGTGAGAGAGAGAGAGTGTGTGTGTGTGTGTGTGTGTGTGGAGCCTCTTTCTTCTACGGCACACCTGGCTGTCAAAAGCTCCGCATCATTGACATGCTAATAAGAGCCGAACAAAAAAACAACTTCAGCGGCCTTCTCACTTTGAAGTCTGCGCCAAGTCAAAAAAACAAAATCCTCGGAGAGAGATACGTGTATCTGTAAAGAGCGAGCTGAAAGAGACGGGACCGAAGCGCCGAGCTGAAGTGAACACGACGAACAAACTACTGACCCTCAGATACTTTACAACATGCACGATCTCAGCTGAAGACCCTCCTCGTGGCTCTTTTACATAAAACACGAAACCCAGATCAGACATTTAACAACAGCAGAGTCATGTGCCGTCTCTGTGTGGTGAAATACAATTCCCATCAAAGTTCATCAAGAATGAGCTCTCAGCCACGAGCGAAACACTGTCATGTGTAACGTTAATGAGAAAACTAATGTATGACACATTAAATCATTTGTGTTTGTTAGCTCTTTATTTTACAGTCCTGTTCTGCATGTACATACTATGTAGTTATTACAGTTACTACAATAACTAGGTACCCTGAACCTACCCGTAAACCTTACTTTAACCCATGTAGTTACCTTATACTACCCAGTACTTGCTTAGCCTGTAATTACATGAATCATCTTAATAACAGCGTAGAGCGTGTATCATTCAGTTACATGAGTGCTGTAGAGTCGTCTCATGGGCGTGTGACCGCATGTCATACATGTTACACATCAACAAACCCTCGGGTTATATATATACATACATACAGTATGTGTGTGTGTGAGAGCGTCAGATCAACACTATAAAGAATACTCTGCCAAACTAAGAATGAATCCCACAGGAGATTGTGTTTGTCTTCATGAAGCCGTTTCATTCTGAAGTAATTACTGAGAGCAGAACGTCCATGTAAACAGAGCAGAAGATGAGTGACCACCTTCATTTCCCGCTCACATTAACCTGACGACAGGCACACGGAGTAATTATTAAAGCTGTCATTACATAACAACAATTTCAGATGAATCACTGCAGCCCGTGTTCCTCTCTGCCTTCAGCAGCTCAGCTCAGAAGTCCTAAGATTAAAATTACATGAACAAATAAACTACCAAGCTGTACAAGATGTACTGTTGTTTCACACACATTTGGATCACACTTTATTTTAAGGGGGCGGGGGGGTTTAAGGGATCTAAAATATAATCATGCAGAATAAGACATTAATATGTGCTTCATAAGTACTAATAAACAGCCAATATGCTAGTAATATGCATGCTGATAAGCAACTTAAACTCAATTTATAAACTCATATAAATATATATCTAATTTATATATACAGTATATACATATCATTAATAACAATCATACAATATATTAATACATTTTATAACTTAATATATTAATAATGTATAAAATTTGTAAAATTGTTGAACACAAATGACTGATTTACTTTCAAGTAAATTCATAAAAGTGCAGGAGACATGATACACTTTCATGAAGCTGACGCTCTGCGGTAACGCTCAACTTTAAAACTATTTTCAATGTATTGCTCATCTTTCTATAATTATGAATGCAGTTTTTATGATCTTGAATTCATTGAATGAATACAAGAAATATCCTACAAAAAATAATAATAATGTACTTTTACAAATTTATTTGCAACCCACATATGTGTTTAGAGCTGTTTAAACGCTGCTTGATCTGAGCAGATTGCTCTCCTGATTCACACCAGAACACTTTTCACTGGACATTATGGACTCGTGTTTTAGTTAAAAACTGCTGGATTTGTTTCAGCTTGTGTCTTCTCCAGATGTTCACTGATGGACTGGAGTGCTGTGGATTATTGTGATGTTTTTATCAGCTCTCATTCTGACGGCACCCATTCACTGCAGAGCATCCATTGCTGAGACACTGATGCAATGCTACATTTCTACAAACCTGATGAAGAAACAAACTCATCCTGATCTGAGATGGCCGGAGGGTTTTTCACTAAATCACAACTGACCAACTCTTCCAGTAGCTCAGAATATCAGATGTGAAACGCAACAGTGCTCCGTTTAGTTTAGTTTACTGTGCTTAAAGACTTCTCTCTTCATGAACACAAGTGAATCGTGTTTCAAATACACCAGAGTTCCTACTGAAACCTTCTTATTTGGTTCAGTCTTGGGAATGTCATGCTCCCGTGTAGATGTTGTTCTTGTATGATATGTCCCTGCAGCTTTGTTTCCTAACGGAGTTGAGTTTTTCCTAGGATTATATTCATCTGTGTCTCCTCAGTCTGAGTCCACGGGTTTGCTTGGAAATAAAGCCAAGGCTCGGACCAAAGCAGCTGATCTGCGGCATGTGTAAGCATGAGATTCACTCGTGTCGGGATGACCAGACACTTTCATTCTCCTCGATCCAGACCTCCAGCAGCACCAGCGATTAAACAGGTTAACTCTAACAGCACTTTGGTTGAACTACTACAACCAGAGAAATATTCCAAATGATTTTACTATCAACAGAGATCTGTAACTGAGCTGGATTAGCAGGAACAAGTCTGCTCAGGTTTAACACACACAGGTGAGTGAATGAGGAGATACAGCTTCACAGCACCAGCCATCATTCTGGGATATTTCCAGATATATTGATATGAAGCGATCTTAGTGATTCACGACACTGTTGTGTTGCTTTTGTGCCCTTTTTGAAGCTTCAGTCTTCATTCATTGGAACTGAATAGAAAAGAGCAACTGGTAGATTATTCAAAACTCCTTTTGTGCTCCAAAGAAATTATACAAACGATGGATAAGTAAATGACGAGAGAACGTTCTTTTCTTTAAAGTGATAGTTCATGCATTTGGATGACCCAGGGAGAGAAACCCTGCATTCTGTCAGCTGTTCCAGTAACAGATCTGCAACACATGCCCACAAAACAAATCCTAACACACAACATAACATAAAATAAAAGAGCTGTATGAGACTTATTTTACATCGGGTTTCTATGAAGTCTGCAATTTCATCAGCCTGTTACCATTACAGCTTAAAAACATGATGCACATTTTTTTTTACACATTTTTTGGGGGATATCTGATGTATTGAAAACAAGCATTAAAGAAATGCATGAAATATGTGTATATATATATATATATATATATATATTATGAACAATTAACAACATTTTAAATTTATAAATATACTAGTAAATATAGTAAAATATTATACTCTCTCAGAAAAAAAAGGTGCAAAAGCTGTTTTCAAATGGTCAACTTTCAACTTTGTACCTAAAGTGTACATATTAGTACCTAGATGGTAAATATTAGTAGCAAAGTAGTAAATTAGTAGTAAAGGTACCACCCCGGTAACAGCTTTTGTACCTTTTTTCTGAGAGTGTAGAGTACTGATAGTTTGTTATAATGTTCTTAACTAATATTTACATTTGAGAGTATTGTCATTTAAAATAAAACATGTACTGTATTGTTCACTGTTAGACACCCAGTGCAATCTTAGTGGTTAACGATTGAACCTTACTGTTACCAAAATGTTAAAGAGGACTGTAGATGTACCCTAAAAGCAGCTCAACACTGGGCTAATTTCATTAACTAAAAACAATAATAAATGTAATTACTTTGAATCAGAGTTATTCAAATATTATTTATATACTATTATAGTTGAATAGTTAATATTTTATTTTATTATATACTTACATTTTACACTTTAATTTTTACATTTTTAGGTTTTGTTTTTTTGTAATTTTTACATTTTACTATTTAATTATTATTTCAGTTTTATTTTTAAATTTTTTAATTCCACTTAGTTATTTTAGTGCTTCGACTTAAAAGTATTTAGTTGCCAAGGCCACATTTCTAAATTATTTTAGTTTAGGTTTTTTTTTTTATTTAATATTTTGTTTTATGCTATTTCAGCTTTATTTTAATGAACAGAAATGTTTTAATAGTTTTTAATTAACCTGCTTGAATAAAATACACATGAACTGAAATAAAATATTTTAAAAAGTTTACTTTTACTACTTTTTTTATTACTTGCCATTTTTTATTTGTTTATTTTAAGTTAGAGTTGAATTTGAAGTACCAAAATAACGAAAAACTAAGAAAACCAAAACTTAAGAAAAACTATTTAGACATATAAAAAAAAAAAAAAACCACTTAAAAAAAATCTATATATTGTCACTTCCTGTGCAGCACACATCTGATACATTTAAAACGAGCTATTTTTATTCTGTGTTCATTTTATGTACAACAACATTTTCTCTAACATACATAAAAACAACATGGGACAGAGCAAGCGTGTAGCCTGTAGGTTTGTGTAAAGTCGTCATGTTTCTGCAGACTGCACACAGCAGATGGGTGGTGTTAGTGCGGGCGGAGGTTACTGGCCGACGTGGAAGGGGAAATTTAGTCTCTGAACTCCTCCTCCAGCCGTCCTGCCATCGCTTGCTCAAAAACTCACTTCTACACACATCTCCACACTCACTCCCTCAGGACAATGAGTCACTCGCTTCAGCCATAAACACACACACACACCCAGTGCTCATGTCTGCTGTAAAGATACTTTATACTGTACTGGAACAGACTAGCAGAGAAACTATCAGGCAGGAAGTACATTTGGTGAAACTAGTGAGTCTTTCTCTCACTCTTCCTTCTCTCGGCAGATTCACATAAATAGCGGCTAGTGAAACAGCGCAGCGTCTCTCCAGGGTGTGGTGGCGCTGCAGCTGTGGTTTGTTGTTGTTCGGATGGATGGAGGCCCCCGCTTGACTCCGCTCCATCCTGGCTCTGTCTCCCTCTGTGACACATTTCCTGCCCCACATATCAAGGGAAGGGCCATTTCAGGGTCCCGCTCTTTCCGGAGTGAGCTTTCTTCCCACCACAGAGAAAAAAAGGCTGGTGTGCCTTGCGGCGATGTAAAACTACGATTTAAAGGAAACCTTCGACCCGAAATGAAAATCCTGTCATTATTTACACAACTCATATGCTCATATCTTTAACATGAGCACAAAATCACAAAATGAGATTTTGAGCAGAACATTCAGACAACAGTCAAAGTCAATGGGAAACCCAGGGTTAGGGCTGGAAAAAAAAAAAAAAAAAAAAAAAAA